TAAAGTTACTAATCAACTGACCACAGGCTATAAGGGTTATTGTGTATTATGCAAGATGGTCCTGAGCCAATCACACATAGGTTAGAGACTAGGAGGCAAAGAACTCTCTCCTGCTATCATCAGAGATGGGGTACAAGAGGAAGAGGAGAGCTACAGCAGCAGCAGAAGTCAGAGAAATTGCCCAGCGAGAGGCTTTGGCCCAGCTGACAGCACACAAAGAAACAGACATGGGCCCACAGGCCCGGGAGTCTGTGACAACCTGAATGAGCCTGAGGGCGGACTGTTCCCTGAGCCTCCCACTAGACAGCCCCGCTGACCAACACCTCAATTTCAGGCTCACGAAACTACAGTAGACAAACTAGTTGAGCTAATCCCAGCTGCTGACCTATACAGAACCACGAGAAGATTAATTTGTGTTTTCAGCAACTACGTTTGTGTCAATCTGCTGTGGCAGGGACAGAGAAAGTAATGCAAGTGTCCCATCCAAGTGTTCGGACAGGACGACTCATCTCATTCTCACGACCACCCTGAAGGGTTATCACCTTGCATTGCACAGATGAGAAAACTGAGGAATAAAGGCATTAAGCAACCTGCTTACGACCAGAATGGCTGACAGCCGACTTACATTCAAGAAAACTAACGGGCCCCGTAACATGTAGGAGTTTAAAATTTCAGCTGGAAGATGACTAAATTTTACACCACAACAAAGCAGGTTATTTCTGAAGTTACAAAAGTAAGAAGAAACTTTAAACAGTTCCAAATGAAAAAGTTCTCTAAGTCAAAAGGGCAATTTGATAATGTCCCCAGAGCAGATTAACCTGTCAGAAATAACTACAATGCTAAAAATAAATGCAAACCTACCTCACTACCTGTTTCTTCCCCCATGTTCAAAACTCAAGTTAGATATTCGGTCAATAAAAGGTTAAGTTTTAGTGTAAATTTGGTTTTCTTTGTAGTCCTAATCCACAAATACATGTTAAATTTGGCATTAGAAGAAGAGAAGTTAATGCCACATGAGAGATTTTTTAAAGAAAGGAAAATGAGGAACAGCACCGCCTTCAGCACATTCTCCAGACGCTTGTGCTCCTTCTCAAGGCAGAAAATTCCAAATAAAAGGCAGTGATAATACAGGAAGAAATCAGGGGGGAAATACAAGCCAAAATTGAAATCTAACATTTATTTTATGAGGAAGACAGCCTTTGAGAGACAATCACATGTGATGGCGTTAGGAGATGAATAAAAGTGGTTCCCTAATCTTCAAAGCAGTACTGCTAAGGGCAACAAAATTTTTAAAAAGAATGTGGGTTTCTATTCTTTGAGATTCCATCAAAAATCGATTTGGAAGTCCAAAACTACCATACTCCAAACCAGTAATGAACAAAAAATACAAATGAGAAAAATAACATTTTGGGGGAAAAGTGGAGAAAACCTTTAAATAACACCTGGAACTTTATTAAGTAATAGCATTTTCCCCTAGTGATAATTTTTTGTGTGTAACTTTTAACCCTGACGTCTTGATTCCCAGAAATAAGGCAAAGTCTGGAAACACAGAAGGTTCTTGGCGGATGGGATACATAATTTCCTCTCAAAAAAAACCAAAACAAAACAAAACAAAAAAACCTGGATTTCCAACATGTAATGTGAATTTACGTTGTTAAAATAAACACCTATTTGGTGTTTTATGTACAAATAATGTAGTCATGTTGTTTTTATGTTCAGTGGTATTTTTAAAATAGCTCATTTAAGATAAAAAAGAGAACAACTTCTAGTCTAAGAAAATTTTTTTGAAGTTTAAATCTATCAAGTTCAATGCTAAGGTCCTATTTTTAAACATCTTTGTCAGTATGAATTATGTATATGCATTGACACAAATCATTAATTTGCAGGTGTTCCTAATGTAAATTGCGTATACCTGTTTAGATTTTTTTCCAGAGGCTAGAAGCATAATAATTCTAATTCAGAAAAGTAGGCACCAGATCTTTTTTAACTTGTAAGCTGTGCAAAACTGAAAAGAGTTAGGAAAGATTCAACTCAAAGGGAATCTGGTTGTGTTCTAGTTCTCAAGGTGAATGGTAGCTTCACGGACGTTCAATTTATTATTTTGCTTTTTAATGTACACCTTACCTGCATTCTTTTATATCTACCAAATATTATGTTAAAAATTAATTTATAGGTGATAGGAGTTCTTCAAAATATAGTCATTATAGTCATAAAAATAAAATGGTAAAAACAGAACTTCATTAATTCCTAGACTTGTGTATACATTAATGCCTTGGAATTAATTGGAAAAAAATGTTAGAGATAGTTCACTATATGGAACATAAATAATTACAATCCAGAAAAATTAAAATCAACTTGAAGACTAGAATTTCTAAACTAAATAAAAGATGGCTTATAGATTGGGTCTTGCAAAACCTTTGGTAGTGGCTATTTATCTACTGACAGAGGACACTGGGGTGGCTAAAATGCTGTGGGCCAATCACAACTCGGGGGTTATTTGTAACTTCATGGAGCAACTAGGAAGGATTTATGGCTTATCTATCCAACTGACTATCTTATCTCTAAAATTTGGCTAATAAACATTACAAACCAGTCTATAATCTGAATTGTGAGCTGATTTCTAGGTGTTTTTTTTTTTTTTTTTAACTGCAGGTACTATCCCTATTTCCTTTGTTTCCCCTCCCCACCACCACCCTATTTGCTTAGTGAATCACAAGTACCTCAATACATTTGCCCTAAATTAAAGTTAAGAGGGCTAGGAGTAAACTTGTTATTAGAAACTTTATCTTCCAAGTGTCCTCTCTTGTTTACTAACAAAATATTTTTAAAGGGATTTGCCACATAAACAACTCATTTCTGTAGAAAGGATTGTACTATCAAAACTTATCACAAGACCAGTTTCTAGCCTTAATTTTTCCCTTTTTCAACAAGTGTTAAAAAACAAGTGTCAAAGATAGAACCAGGTTAATCTGACCTGTCCAACTCCAGCTTAGCTTTTAACACCTTGTCATAACATCCTTATCTTCTAACACTCAGGAAGGGTTAGTATTTCTTTGTAAACAGTCCTTCAACTTCACAGACCAGCGTTTAAGGAAAGGTTCCTTGTAAGGACATGAGTTTCAGTTCTGGCAATCTGATCTAAGAAGAAAATTCTGATCAAAGAAAGGCATTATACACAGATGTTCATTATAGTATTATTCATCTTGGGAAAAAACACATAAATCCACTTCAATGTCTACGAAGAAATAAAGGAAGTGATAGTTACCCAAATGATATGTCTTTTTCAGTGGAATATTAGGCAGCCACAGAAAATAACTGCACACAAAAAAATGTGGTATTACATGGGAAACAACCTTACAGTGAAGAAAAGGGCAATTATATTTTTTTCAAACTATAGAGGAAAAATAGAAAGTACACTAGGTTTTTAAATTTTTATTGTCTTGGAGTGACTGGATGGCTCAATCAGTTAAGCATCCCACTCGTGATTTTGGCTCAGGTCATGATCTCACAGTTTGTGAGTTCAAGCCCCGCACCAGGCTCTGTGCTGACAGTGCAGAACCTGCTTGGGATGCTCTCTCCCTTTCTCTCTCTCTGCCTCTCTTTCTGAAAATAAATTTAAAAAAAATTTTTTTTTAATTTATTTTCTCTTCCCAAATGGCCTACAATGTAATACAGGTATAATTTTTTATCTTTAATACCGCAGTTATTTTCCTACTATTCATACTTCAAACATTAACATTTTTTAACATTTTAACACTTAGCCTCTGTGGAGCACATACCTCCTTCCTTACTTTTCCAGAACACATAACTTCCAACACACTCAACCATCTGAAACAGATGAAAAATTTTCAGATATTAACTACAGCCTCAATCTTTTGGCAGATGCATTTAGTAAAGTGCTCACTGATTATCTCAAGACTCTTAAACTATCAGAGTTAAAAAATAATTTCGCTATCAGTTACCATTATAGTTGATAAACACTATTTGACTTCAAGAATTCCTGGGAATTCTCTTTCCCACTTGTGTCAGGATCCTAGCGGACTCTCCTGTTCCAGAATCATTTCTGTGGCCGTATCTTCTATAGAGATGATAGCCATTGGGTTATATCTTTTCCCATTCCTTTCAGATCAGACTGATGCACTAATCCAGAAAGAAGCTTTAAAGATGTTCCTTTTTTTTTCTCTTCTGTTTTTAATCTTCAATTACTTAAAGGCTCAACTTAAAATTAAGGAAAACTGGGTCATTTCAGGAAATAAGCAAATAATTCCTGTGAAGTATTTGATTTTTATCTCTCTAAACATTTTTTCCCAACCTCAAATTCATATTTCAATATTTCCCAGATAAATCCAATTGCCTGAAATTTTCTTTAAAAATATTCAAGACTGGAGCGCATGGGTGGCTCAGTTGATTGAGTGTCCAACTTCGGCTCAGGTCATGATCTCACAGTCTAGGGGTTCAAGTCCCGTATCAGGCTCTGTGCTGACAGCTCAGAGCCTGGAGTCTGCTTCAGATTCTGGGTCTCCCTCTCTCTGCTCCTTCCCTGCTCACTCTCTCTCTCTCTCAAAACGAAATAAAGACATTAAAAATATTCAAGACCAGTATATTTCAATATCACTTGATGCAATTTTACCAACATTTTTAGGCTGCCCAAATCAAGAGTTTTTAAAAAATGGTGACAGTTATAGAGCGCCTGGGTGGCTCAGTTAAGCGTCCAATTTCAGCTCAGGTCATGATCTCCTTGTTTGTCGGTTCAAACCCCATGTCAGGCTCTGTGCTGACAGCTCAGAGCCTGGAGCCTACTTCGGATTCTGTGACTCCCTCTCTCTCTCTGCCCTTCCCCTGCGCTCTCTCTCTCTCGCTCTCTGTCTCAAAAATAAACATTTTTTAAAAAAATTTAATAAAAATATTTTAATGGTGATGGTTAAAAATTATTTTCAAATTAGTTCTCCATTTTTATTCTTCAAACAGGCACATTTTCCCCCCCATGAACATTTCCTCAATATTAAACTCTTGTCTTCACAAATCTGCGTGTCATCCTTGTGCAGGGGCCGTGCTTAATCTGCTCTGGAGCATTCCAATTTTAGTCTATGCGCTGCCAAAGTGAGGACAAACTCTTCTCCAAGAACAGCCAAGTTGGACCTGAATTTATTTTAATGCCCATAAGAAATCATTTAATTTTATATATATTAACATTCAAGGGTATAATTATTTTATTAGTTTTATCGATACTAAAGAGATCTTTGCAGGGGAAAGAAGTAAGTCCACAGTTGTACTCCACATAAATGCCAAATGGTTTTTTTTCCTTCCTGGTGTAACTGGCATCTCAACAAGAGGTTGGCTTTTAAGCCACCCCACTTTCATAAATTTAAAAACACAGTATACATAAAGCTAGTTGAGAGGGAAATGCCTATACTTAATTCCTGCCAAATTATTAGCAAGCTACTTAATTAATGGGAGTCTACCACTATCTTTCTGTCCTCGGACAAAAACTGGGCATATGGGAAAACAATCATTTTTCTCCACATACACCGCACTTACTGCAAAATGTTGAATACTATGGGCAACCACACCAAAAATGATATTCAGAAAAGCTTACTCCCTTGCTTCTCAGAGTGTGTTGTACAAACCTGGGAACTTGTCAGAAATAAAAAAAACACTCAGACTCCACCCTAACCTACTGCATCACTGACCAAGATGCCTGGGTCACCAATGTGCACATTCAAGTTTGAGAAGCAGGAGTCCAGGGGTTAAGGTAGAAGGCAGCATGAGACACCACCTCCTGCCCCCACATTCTCAGTTGTGCGAAGCTACACAAAATCTAGTCAGCAATGAATAAATCATTCCCAAACCTTGTCAGTATATCTTTAAATGAATCAAGCCTTTCCACAAAGGTTAAAATTAAAAAAATAAAAAAAGGAAATGCATGTGGCTGACACCTATTAACAGCATCTTCACTGTACTATCAGAACTATGTATTTTTTAATAACATGCTGAAAATAGGTACATCTGTTCTCCATTCTCTGTTAAGAAAGCATTCTTGCTAGAGAATTTTCCTCTCCTTGGGGCGCCTGGGTGGCTCAGTAGGTAAAACATCTGACTTCAACTCAGGTCATGATCTCAAAGTTTGTGAGTTCAACCCCCACGTCATGCTCGGTGCGGACAGCTCAGAGCCTGGAGCCTACTTCAGATTCTCCCTCTCTCCCTCTCCCTCTCTCGCTCTCTGTCTCTCTGCACCTCCCCTGTGTGTCTTCTATCTCTATCTAAAAAATAAATAAATAGGGGCGCCCGGGTGGCGTAGTTGGTTAAGCGTCCGACTTTCCCTTGGGTCATGATCTCGCGGTTCGTGGGTTCGAGCCCCGGGTCGGGCTCTGTGCTGACTGCCAGCTCAGAGCCTGGAGCCTGTTTCAGTCTGTGACTCCCTCTCTCTCTGACCCTCCCCTGCTCACGCTGTCTCTCTCTATCTCTCCTAGAAATAAATAAAACATTTTTTAAAAAAATAAATAAATAAAAAATAAATAAATAATAAAAAAAAATTTTTTTAAGAATTTTCTTCTTTTCAAACCTAGAATGGGTCTTGTGGATGAAATCTATTTCCAATTGTTCCTAGTTTCAAATGTTACAGGAGTTAAAGAATTTTAATATAAGAATCGCAACTGACCTATTTTAGGAAGTATTTGTACAAATGAGTTAAATATGTAGCATTAAGACAAATACATAGCCTCTATCATAGTCCCTGACCTAACTGTAGGTAGTATGTTATACCTGTAACAAAGGGTCTTCCTGTTTTCAGGAAGGATTTTCTAAGAAAGTATCAATTCAGTGACTACTGGTAATTTGTCATACAATTTGACTCACAAATGGATACTTTATATAGCTTTCTAGAGGTGTATCGAAAATGTAACATAGTACACCTGTACTGGCCTGTGCTCTGTTGATCTACAGAAGTTTAAACAAGATGCTTCTATAAGGACTTCAACTACAGCCTACCACAAAAGTGCTCTGGGAATAACTTTATCCCTCTACAATCATAGCCTTGTTCTAAACAGAGCCCTTAAGTAAATTAAATCTTTAGAAAAACATACTTTTTTGTTTGTAAAGAAAGAAACATTTCCTGAATGCCAGAGACTGTTTCCTTGAGAAACTGTTTATGTTACTGTGCTGAAAAGGTGTTTATGTTGCTATAAACACCTTCCTTGTAAGAGGGGATGGAGAGTCTCCCTATTGTTTACATTGTAATCAGGCCTGACTCTGAAAAGATCTACCCTTATTCCTCATGCCTGGACTAACTCACTACATTCTGTCCCAATTAGATCACTTGCAAAGATATTCTGTGTTTGTCTAGTATAATTGACCCATCACATGAGAATAGGGGAGCGTAAGTTCATAATAAGGACTACAATTATGAAGGCCATTAATTGGCAGGTTGTGGCAGTTTGTACTGACTGTGTCAAGTTTCTTAAGGAAAAACTACACTTCCTGGAATCTCTTCCCTGTATAGGCCCAGCTTAAAGTTGAATTGGCACAAAAACAGAATTGGCACAGATGTGGATCGATCTGTTTGGATTCAGAAGCCATTACTCCGAAGGTGGTCATGGTTACTATAGTGACCAGACATGGCTATGTAGGTGGGTTCAAGCTTATCTTTGCTCTTCTTGGATCCCTATCCACCTTTCCAGATGGGCCCCGTAGATCAACAGCAACTCCAGGCCAACCAACAGACACAAAGAGGTGGTAGTCACACAGAGGCACAGGCTTCCATGGGCCATGCCCCATGAGCACAAGGTTGTCTCATGCCTGGCTTCTCAGATGGACTAGCTGGGGATGCCAGTGATCCTCCAACTTGCTTCCTGGACCTTCATTTCCTAAGCTCCTACCATAAATGTTTTAGGTTTAATTTCTATAATAAATCTCTTAACTCCATAAGTTAAGTCCTCTGTGATTAAACCTCAACTGACTCTAAAGGTTTGGTTTACTTGTTGGCTCTAGATTTAAATGTTCTCTTGTCATTCAAGACATGGCATGTTCAACAATAAATGGCAAAGCAAACTGTATCTGCTTCTGCTCAGCTGATAACTCTTAGTAGAATAGGGCCTGGAGTTTAAGCCCCCTTCTTAACCCTAAATTTTCCCATATACCTTCTCTTTTTGTTCTGGCTTTACTGAGACATAACTGACATATTAAAAAATCTAAGGGGCACCTGGGAGGCTCAGTCACTGAAGCATCCAACTTCGGCTCAGGTCATGATCTCACAGTTTGTGGGTTCGAGCCCCGCGTCAGGCTCTGTGCTGGCAGCTCAGAGCCTGGAGCCTTCTTCAGATTCTGTGTCTCCCTCTCTCTCTGACCCTCCCTGCTCACACTGTCCCTGTCTCTCTCTCTTTCTGAATAAAACATTTTTTAAAAATTTTAGAAATCGTATACATGATGTGCATAATTTGATGTTTTGACATAAATATACACCAAGGAAAACATCACCGCAATCAAAATTATATGAACCTACCCATCGATCCTAAACGTTTACTCATGTCTCCTTAAAATCTTACCCCTCCTTACTCTGCCCTACTGCCCATAACCACGGATTTGTACCATCATGATCATTACTTTGCACCTTCTAAAAGTGTATATACCTACATATGGAATCATACAATATCAGAGCACCTGGGTGGCTCAGTCAGTTAAGCGTCCAACTTTGGCTCAGGTCATGATCTCGTGGTTCGTGGGTTTGAGCCCCGCGTCGGGCTCTGTGCTGACAGCTAGCTCAGAGCCTGGAGCCTGTTTCAGATTCTGTGTCTCCCGTTCTCTCTCTCTCTCTCGCTCTCTCAGAAATAAAAAAAACATTAAAAATGTTTTTTTAAAAAAAAAGGAATCATACAATATGTACTCTGTTGGGAAGGGAGCTGGCTTCTTTTACTCAGTATAATTAATTATGAAGCTTCACCCATATTGTCGTAAATATCAATAGTGGATTCCTTTTTATTGCTGAACAGTATTTAATTATACCACAATTTGTTTATCCATCCCCCTGCTGGTGGACATTTGAGTGACTTCCAGTTTAGGGCTATTACCAATAATGCTCTTAGGAACATTTGTGCTAAAGTCTCTGTGGGGAGATGTGCTTTCAAACCTCTTGGGTAAATACCTGAGCACAACCAGGTAGCTGTGTGCTTAATGTTTTAAGAAAATGAAAAACTTTCTGTCAAAGTGATGATACTATTTTAAGTACTGACCAGCAATGCAGAAGACTTCCAGCTGCGGGGCACCTGGGTGGCTCAGTCAGTTAAGAGTCTGACTCTTGGTTTCAGCTCAGGTCATGATCTCACAGTGTGTGGGTTCAAGCTCCACATCGGGCTCCATGCTGACTGTCCAGAATCTGCCTGAGATCCTCTCTCTCCCTCTCTCTGCCCCTCCTCTGTTCTGTATCTCTCAAAAATAAACTAAAAAAAAAAACAACAAAAAAACTTCTAAGAGTTCCAGTTGCTCCATTTCCTCATCAGCATTTGGTATGGTCATTCTTTTTAATTTTGGCCATTGTAGAGGTAGTACATGAATATCTCATGGCAGTTTTAATTTGCATTTTCCTAATAACTAGTGATCTGAGCATTTCATATTAGTATACATGTGTATATCTCCTTTGTTGAAGTGTCTTCAAATCTTTTGCCCATTTTAAATGGGTTGTCCTATTACTGAGTTGTATATTCCTTATACAGTTTAGATTCAAGTCCTGTGTTGGATATATGGTGAGCATGTATTCTCCCCCAGCCTGTGATTTATCTTTTCATTTTCCTAACTTTTGAAGAGCAACATTTTTTTTCACCGTCTCAGTCCAACTTCGGGTACTACATTTGTTTCCGGGGGCTAACATAGCAAAGTCTCAGAAAATGGTTGGCTTGAGACAACAAAAATTTAATGTCTCATGCTACAAGACGGAAATCAAGGTGATGAAGGTGCTGGCAGGGCCAACCTCCCTCCAAAAGCTCTACAGAAGAACCCTTCCTTGACTCGTCTAGCTTCTAGTAGCTGCTGGCAATCTCGCATTCCCTAGCTGCAGTGGCCCGACTCCCATCTCTGCCTTGTCTTCTCACAGCTCTCTTCTCCATGTCTCTCTGC